AGAGAGAGAGAGACAGAGCACGAGCGGGGGAGGGGCAGAGAGAGAGAGGGAGACACAGAATCCGAGGCAGGCTCCAGGCTCCGAGCTGGCAGCACAGAGCCCGACGCGGGGCTCGAACTCATGAACTGTGAGATCACGACCTGAGCCGAAAGCAACAGTCAACCATCTGAGCTTAAGTTTTTAAGATGGCAGTCTTTCAGGCTGCCCGCTGTTCATTCAGTCACTTTCCTTTTTAGATAGTCCTTATAAAGGCACTGAAATAGCTGGGTTTTGTCTGGTTTTGCCACCTGTGATTAAACCTGTTATCAATTAAATGTGTAATAACTCACCACTTAAAGGTAGCTACGGAGACAGATATTCAGACCCTTTGACCTATGCACATATAGTTATCAGGGGGACGTGGGCCTTTTTTTTTCCCCCTAACCTGAACAAATGATCATTGGAATTAGCTTTGATTCGGTCCCGGCCATGGGGAGCCACACATGACTGGCCAAATGAGAACAGGGTGAAAGACAGAGGATTCCACCAGAATCCGGTCCTAGGGCCAGGAGGTGCTGTGCTTTCTTCCCTACGAGGATGTGGTTCTGGAGCCCTTCGACGTCTTGCATCTACACTGTATGTGAAAGCACTTTGGAAGCTGTGAGGCACATAATTAAGTACTGAGTGTAATGAGACACAAATAAGTGGCCTGGCATACCTTTCTTTTCAAGGTATGCCAATTCATATCAGCAAATACGAACAGAGACGGGTAGTTGTGTGTGTGTGTGTGTGTGCGTGTGTGTGTGTGTGTGTGTGTGTGCATGTGTGTGTGTGTGTGCGTGTGTGTGTGTGTGTGTGTGAGAGATTTTAGGATATGTCATGGGGGTGTTTGGGGTGGCAGATTTATATTCCTAATGTTTTGTTTGGGCAAATAATCACGGATATGAATTTACTTAACATATTCAAAGTAACCCTAGGGATGGTTACCGAGAAGAAAGCAAAAAAAAAAAAAAAAAAAAAAAAGACTGGAGACAGTGACTGATTTAAAAGGCAGACATAATGTGTGCATAATATATACAGGCAGCACCCCCATTTGGTGACTGCTGGTGTGGCAAGCCCTTGGAGGATTCTCTTCTGAGCAGGTGGCTTAGGGGCCCTAGGCCTTCCTTGAACCTTCTTCACAGCTTCAGAGAGGGCCAAGCACTGGGCACTTCGTGGTGGCTGCTTTGATCATGCTGAGTTCTTCCCAAGCCCTGTCTTTCCCTGATGTCGCTCAGCTGGTACACTGGGACTCTCCTGCCTTTTAAAATTCTTAGATGAAGTCTTCCTGGCCCCTATTGAATTAGGGTGTTTGGGGGTTTATGGTTCGTCTGGTTTTGTTAAATAGTTCTCATTGTCCGATGAGAGCAGCTTATGCCTTGACGAGTAAGAACCATGGCTCAGGGTCCTAAGAACCCCAAGGACAGGGACTTTCCACATCAGAATGTCCCATGGGCATAATAACTTATAAGAGCTAAAGCCGTGTGTGTGTGTGTGTGTGTGTGTGTGTGTGTGTGTGTGAAGGTAACCAGTGAATGTACAGAAGCATTGAGAGCATTGCAATTTTGCCATCTATTTCTGAATAATTGCTAGATCTTACATTGGTATAAGCATATAAACTTATACACATATATATATAAACTTACAAATGGGCCCAGATTAAACGGAGCTACCTATGTTTCAGTTCTCCACTTCTGTTTTTATTGGCCCTCTTTCCCAGGCTGCAAAGATAAATCCAGAAGAATATCAGGAGATATTTCCGATGCCATGAGGCGGATACTGAGGACACTGTTTTCTGATACTGAATTTAGCAGAAAGCTCCTTAGACAGCACTTTCACACTTTATCAGTTTGAAACTTATATCTGTAATGATCTAAGGTACACCACCACCAGAAGTTACCAGTAAATAGATTGGGCTAAATCTATGAAAATGATTGGTCTACTTACACTCACTCACTCACTCTCTCACATACACTTTCTCTCTCTCCGTGTACTTTAATATAATCAGGGGACTTTTGTCTGAAATTTACCAAGCCCTTGCTTGTTTCCTCAGTGATTAGTGGGACAAGGGATATTTTAAAACCACAATGTTTATAGCTAAACAGCTTTATTCAGGAGTAATTTCACTTCTCACTTGTTATAATGGAGGCAGTAAGTAAAGTCTCACTTTCAAGAGACTTTTACTGTGTTTCTCATGCTCAGTATCAAAAATCACAATGTGATTCCTGCCTTTTGTTTTCTGTAGAGACACTTTTTCAGAAATCTCGGGTCTATTCTGGCTTACGCTTTCTTGGGGACTGCCGTTTCCTGCTTCATTATTGGGTAAGTTGCTCTTTGTCATTAACCAAATTAACATTCCCAAAGAGATGAGATCCACATGGGTCCACAGAGTTGGTGTTTTCCCCAGCTGTACTGTAATACACTTGACACATTCCATCCTGGGAGCTTCAAGTGGACAGTGCGTTGATTTGATACATTTAGAAATTGCACAGTCATTACCACCATCGTATTAGCTACCACCTTCAGCCTGTCACATCGTTACCATTTCTTTCTTGTGATGAGAACATTTGAGACCTACTCTCTTAGCAAAATTCAAGTATGCAATACAGTATTATTAGCTGTAATCACCATGTCGTACGTTAGATCCCCAAACTTGTTAATCATCTAACCGGAAGTTTGTTCCCTTTGAGCAACATCTCCCCGTGTCCCCTGACCCCCACCCCAGCCCCTGAACACCAGCAGAGCCCAGGATTTTGATGTTTATGATGATGTTTTGATGTTTATGACACGTAGCTATTTAAATTAAGACTAGGCTTAATTAAAATGAAATAAAATTACACCTAGTCCCCCAATCTTGATTCCTGATAACATTCTCCAATAAAAAGAAGCAGGACGCCTTGCAGAAATCGCAGATTCTAGGGCTAGGGCAGCAAATACATGAGATAAGAACAGGGCATAGATAGCACAGTGCCAAAAAAGCAAGAAAGCGCCCAGAAAACAAACAGACACATGGAAGAACTTAGAGCATGTCAAAGAGACACAGAGCCAACCTGAAAGTTCCCCCAAGGCCAATGGCCAAAGAACAACAAAATAACATCGTACTGGTCCCAAACCATGAAGCAAACCTCTGAGTGTCTACTGATGTAGACACTGCTGATTGGGCGAGGGGCGCCTGGGTGGCTCAGTCGGTTGGGCGTCCGACTTCGGCTCAGGTTGTGATCTCGCGGCTTGTGGGTTCAAGCCCTGTGTCGGGCTCTGTGCTGACACCTCGGAGCCTGGACCCTGCTTCGGATTCTGTGTCTCCCTCTCTCTCTCTCTGCCCTTCCCCTGCTCATGCTCTGTCTCTCTCAAGAATAAATAAACATTAAACATTTAAATAAAATAAAAAAATAAATGATTGGGAGAATAAATAAATGGGGGAGAGGTGACGGATCTCCTGTGCAGAAGAGTTCCAAATAAGGTATGTCGATCCCCGCCCCCACCCCGCAGGTGAAGGAATGTACCTCCCCTCCTGCTCTGTTTGCAGGCTGTTCGCAGTGATTTCCTTCCTTCCACGGAGTACAGGGAGGGGGGTTTGTAGGCAGTAGTGGTAAATCGCACTGATACTCTGCCCCCTTGATGTTTGTGATGACAGTGGCACTTTACCCCCCGCCCCCCGCCACTACCTCGGTGTAGTCATGAGAAAAAAGTCCAACGCGTCCCAGCTGAGGGACATTCTACAGAGCGCCTGACCAGTGCTCCTCAAAACTGCCAAGGTCATCAAAAACCACACGAGGTCTGAGAGATTGTCATAGCCAGGAGGAGACTAAAGAGACGTGAGGGCTCAGTGTCGTGTGGTATCCTGGCTGGGATCCTGGAACAGAAAAGGGACATTAGGTAAAAGCTAAGAAAATCTGAAGAAAGTGTGGACCTTAGTTAATTTTTAAAAACTTAGCCGGAAAGCTGGAGATACGAGGCCAGGGCCTTCCATGTGGCCAGAATAGAAGGGGCTCAGGCTTTGTCCTTTTTGAGAGAGACGAGCCATGGAAGAGTGACAGCTTAGATGACTGGCATGGGTGGCCAGATGGGAAAAGGCCGCCAGAGAGAAGCCTAGCGCCCGAGTCTTAAGTCTGGGGGAGAAGGAAAGGGTGAGGCACGTGTGGTTCTCAGGAAATGTTTGAAAGGTAATTGACGAACAACACAAGGCAAATCAAAAGTGTATCTCAGAGTTACTGGGAATTAAAATTGAACAGTGTATCGTTCTGGGCGTCCGGGGTGCAAAGGAGAGGAGCCACGACGTGGCCCTTACCAGCAAGAGTATCATGATGAGAGCCTTAGCTGTAGCGTACAATGAGTCTATTCTGTGGTTATTTTTACTCCCCTAACCCCTGCAGCTGCCATCACCACACACACACACACACACACACACACACACACACACACACCCTTAGTGACATGTACTAGGCCTTTGAACACTCCTCACTCCTCCCATTTTGTGAGCTCTCCTGTAGGAAGTGTGCTGTAGCCAAGTTGAAATGTTTAACTTGGTGGCCTGTCTCGGGCCATGGCGCATCCTGCACAGTACAAGAAGAGCCGTGGCTGGCCTGCCCAAGCCACGCAGAGAAGGAGAGGCCGCATGTGTCATTGGGTGCACTGGTATTTCACTACCACATTTAGAGAATTTGGAAACCCGTCCCAGCCGAGAAGGTGGAACGCTTAGACCTCTGTGGCCCACCCGGTTTTTCTCTCTCTCTCCAGCTTCGCCCCGTGCACTCATTTCCACAGCGTTACACACACTGTCTTAGAACCCTGTGAGTTTCGTGGCAATCCATCACCCACGATGCAGCGTTCTTCCTCTTCCTTTCTTCTCCGTTACCCAGCTGCTTAAGATGCCTTAAAGTCGTTGCTAACCGAGGCCCGCGCTTTATAGCTGTGAGTAAGCACAACTTTGAGAAATCGAGTAGGCATTCAGATGTGTCAGCGCCACGACGTTAACTGCAAACCATTTGTTGGTGCCAAAGCTTTATCCGCACGTGTCCCTGGTGAGAGTGTCCAACCACAACAGCTGCCCGATGTTTTCACAGATCACTCTCGAACTACGGTATTCCGGTGCTGCTTGGTTCGCGTGTCGGCGAGGCTACCCAGGCGGGGTCTCGTTTCCTCTTCTGACGCAGTTTACCTTCCCTTCATACAGGAATCTCATGTACGGTGTAGTGAAGCTCATGAAGGTCGTGGGGCAGCTCTCGGATAAGTTTTACTACACAGACTGTCTCTTTTTCGGAGCCATCATCTCTGCCACTGACCCAGGTATTTTGCACATATTGGCTTCGTCATTCTGATATTCCAGTAGTTACATCTTAAAACGTACAGAGCGATCGTTAACTCTGGTTGCGGTACAGAGACCAAATAGAAGTAGCACGGAATGGTGGAGGAAGAGACCGGAAGTGGTCTAACAGAGGTAGATGGCTTTTGTAAGAAGGGTGTGCGTTTCCCTTTTATTTCTTTTTTTTAATTTTTTAAAGTTTATTTGTTATGAGGTTGGGTACGTGGGAGTAGGGGACGGGGCAGAGAGAGAGCATCCCAAGCAGGCTCCCGGCTGTCATTTTGCACCGCTGGAACTCTGTACCCGTTAAACAGTGACTCCCCCCGTTTGCACCTGCCTCCAGTCCCTGGTAACCGACCATCCTGCTTTCTGTCCCTGTGACTTCGACTACCGTAGATATGTTAGAGAAGTGGAATCGTACAGCGCTTGTCTTCTTGTGCCGGGCTTATTTCACTCAGCGTAACGTCTTCAAGGTTCATTTCTGTTGTCGCAGGTGTCAAAGCTGAATAATATTCCATTGTGCATATATACCACGTTTTGTTTATCTGTCCATCGGCAACGGGACACTTGGGTTGCTTCCACCTGTATTTCTTTCCCTTTTGTCTTTCATTTCAGAATGTCTAATTTGGTCATAATTTCCACACCAAGACTGTCTTCTTCCTCCGTGCCTTGCCTTTGGCCTCATTTAGGAAATACATCATTTCTTTTTTTTTTTTT